CCTACTCCCAAAGGTTTCCTCCTGCCCAAGGCAAGTTCAACTCTTAGATAAGACCCTTCTAGCTTCCCCCCACCTTTCCCCCTTTTGGATGGCCTTTGGTGGTCTGAGTTTTCCCAGTCTGTCTACCAAGAGTACTCCTCTGCCTCAGGGCTGCCTCAGGACTGCCTGGCACTTGCCAAGTCAGATCCTTGGCGTGCTGTTATTTTTTTTCAGGGAAGAAATGGATCACACCACTGTCTCCTCATACCTTGGAGGAGTGAGGCAAGGCACAGCAGAAGCCACTTTGTGACTCAAAGGAATTCCAGGGAAAAGTTATGTGTAGCTACCAGATTTCTTTTGTTTGGTAAAGTTTGCATGTTGTATGGGGGAAAAGTATTGAATTGATTGACAATGTCAACAAAGCATGAAAAAATCCATTTTCCCATACCGTCACAGCCCTGGTCATTTCAGGGTAATCTTTACTGATTAGGGGATGGCATGTTTTTGTTTTGGAATTGGCACACTTGAGCCTTTTCCAGGCTCCCATGGTTGCATTTTCCCTTTGCCTGCTCATGTCCTATGACCACTGATTTATAGGAGATCTTTAGCCGAAGTTATCGATCTTCTTTCACTACAAATATTTGTTCCAGTCATTGCATTTTTATTGGAAAGTGTCAGATTATGCACAGTCCAAGGAAATAAATTCCAGGTGGTCTAAAATGTTTTCTAAAATAATAGAAAATTTGAAGATAACTAGGCTGAGGTGGAAGGATTGCCTAAGCTCAGGAGATTGAGGCTACAATGAACTGTGATTGTACCATGGCACTCCAGCCTGGGCAACTCAAAAAAAAAAAAAGAAAAGAAAATTTGAAGATAACTAAGTTTCAAACCTTTAGTAGCTATTAGGAGAAACAATATAAAAATAAATATCTAAATACATAAAATATAAAGGCTTTTTTTTGAGTTGGAGTCTCACTCTGTTGCCTAGACTGGAGTGCAGTGGCACGTGCACAGTCACTGTAGCCTCGACCTGCTGGGCTTCAGCGATCCTTCCACCTCAGCCTTCCAAGTAGCTGGAACTACAGGCACACGCCACCACATCTGGCTAATTTTTTTGATTTATTTTAGAGATGAAGTCTCACCAAGTTGCCCAGACTGGTCTCGAAGCCTTGAGCTCAGGCAATCTTTTCACCTTGACCTCCCAAAGAGCAGGGATTATAGGCGTGAGTCACTGCGCCCAGCCTAATATAAAGACTTTTGACTAAAGCTGGGCACAGTGGCTCATGCCTATAATCCCAGCACTTTGGCAGGCTAAGAAGAAAGGACAGCTTGAGCCCAGAAATACGAGATCAGCCTAGACAACATCGTGAGACCTTGTCTCTACACAAACACACACACACACAACCTGGGTATGGGTAGTGTGTGCCTGTAGTCCCAGCTACTAGGGAGGCTGAGGTGGTAGGATTGCCTGAGCCCAGGAGGTAGAGGCTGTGGTAAGCAGTAAACTCCAGCCTGACTCAAAAAGATAAAAAAAGACTTCTGAATAAAATAAAAATCCAAAATAAATGTGGAATGCTGATGTTAAGTCAGAAGCAGGAGGTAATGGCTGAGAAGACTGTTATCAGTAAGAAGACCCTGAAGGTCATTTTGGCTTCTGATATCACATCCCAAAAAGGCAGAGACAATGTCCAGTAGGCCTTTTGCCTCTTGCTCCTTGTAGAGGAGGTGGTGAGTTTAAAAAATACGAAGTCTGGGAATCCTCTCCATGGACAGGGTCACTGAAGCCCACTTCCTGCCTCCGTGGACACCTGAGCCTGCATGCTCACCAGAGGATCAATGGCAGCCAGACACAGCAAGAACAGGCAGAATATTAGGCTCACTTTGTTTAAGGAAAACTATATTTTGGAAAGATTTCTCTGAAAACTCTAGGTTATTGGAGGATTTAGGAATCCAGAACTACTTGTTCTGTGTACCTTAAGCTGTCCTGTAACACATACAGACTTCCTAAACAAAAATTCCTGTATATTGAATTTAATTGAATTATTATTCTCATCTTGTTGAAACATGACTTTGTCTTTAATTCTTCCACATGATTAGAAATTGTGACCTGAGTAGTAGTGGGCTCTGAACAGCTGTGGACTCAATGAGGATGGGCAGCTTCCCTTCGAGGGGGAACCGATAACACCCCAATGGTCTCATTTCTTCTTGAAGTAACATTCCAGTGATCTTAACTTTTTGGACTTTCATCTCAGTGATTTCAACTTGTCTCTAAAGTATCAGCACAGTGATCTCATTTAGGTTCTGAAGAAACATCTGGGTGATATCTTCTTGGCACTCAAGCTAACACCTCAGTGACTTAAGCCTCTTCTAAAGTAACACCTCAGTAATCTCAGCTCCATTCTGAAGTAACATCTCAGTGATCACAGCTCCTCTCTATGAAGAGTCACCTCACTGATCTCGCCATCTCTGAAGTAACACTTGAGTGATCTGAATTCCAGTGAAGCAATGCCTCAATTATTTCATCTCCTTTCTAAAGTAACACCTTAGTGACGTCATTTCCTTTTTGCAGAATCACCTCGGCAATCACAACTTCTCTGAAGTAACATCTCTGTGATCTCAACTACAGTAAAATACCTTGCTTCCTTTATGAAGTAACGCGTGAGTGATCTCATCTTGGCCCCGAAGTAGTAATAAATACCTCAGTAATCTCAGCTCCTCTCTTGAATAACACCTCATTGATTCCAGCTTCTCTCTGATGCAAAACTTCAGTGATCTCAGCTCCTTCTATGTAACACCTCGGTATTCTTTTTTTTGAGTTGGAGTCTCACTCCCTTGCCCAGGCTGAGGTGCAGTGGCACGCTCATAGCCACCCCATCGTTGACCTGCTGGGCTCAGGCGATCCTTCCACCTCAGCCTTCCAAGGAGCCGGAACTACAGGCGTGCACTACCATGCCCAGCTAATTTTTTAAATTTATTGTAGAGATGAGGTCTCACCAAGTTGCCCGGGCTGGTCTTGAACCTGCGGACTCAGGCAATCCACTCACCTTGGCCTCCCAAAGTGCTGGGATTACAGGTTGAGCCACTGAGTCCAACCAACCTCGGTATTCTTATCTTTGAAGTAATGACAGTGAATTCACCTCTTTTATGAAACAACACCCCAATGGTCTCCATTTTTCTGAAGTTTCACTTTGGTGATTTCAACTCCTCTGGAGAAACATCTCTGTGATCTTGACTTCTCTGAAGAATCACCTCAGTGATTTAATCTCTAAAGTAACACCTTAGTGATTTAACTGGAATAATCACTTCAGTTATTTTAGCTCTTCTGAAGTCAGTGGTCACAGCTACTCTGCAGCATACATTAGTGATGTTAGTTCCTTTAAGAACTAACACCCAATGATCTTGTCTCTTTTCTGATAAAACACCTCACTGTATTCAGATCCTCCAGAATACCACAATTGTCTCATTTTCTTTCTGAAGTAACACCTCAGCGATTTCTGCTCCTCTTCAAAGAAACACAGTGATCGTCTTTTCTGAAGTAACACCCTGTTATTTCATCCATCTGTAGCAACACTTCAGTGCATTGACTCCTTTCTAAAGTAACACCTCAGTTACCTGAGCTGAGGTTTCACCAGAGTAACCTCAATCTCTCTGAAGTAACACCTCAGTGATATTAGTTCCCCTGGAGTTTCACTTCAGTGGTTTCAGCTGCTCAGGAGTAAAACAGCAGTGATCTCAGCTCCTTTCTCAAGTTAACACATTGGTTAGTGACCAATTCCTCTCTGAAGTTAATATCTTATTGTTGTTGGCTCCTCTCACTAATGTCTGCATATAGAAGGGGAAACACACTTTTGTCTGCATTATGATGTACTGCTGTGGACTTAAGGATCTATGCCCTGTGCTCATTTTTTCCAAGAAGCTGACAGACTTTGGAGGTGTAAGAGCCCTCCTCCATCTTAGGCTCTTAGCACGTCTTGAATCTCATACCTTTGTTCCTTTTGCAGCTGGCTACTACCAGAAATGGCTCTGATACAAATTCAGTTTCAAGAACTATATCCTTAAAACAAATAATTTTAAACAAATACAAATTTTAAATTATTAATAAACCAGGCTCATCATAGTAATATGGGAATGGACATGAGACTCTTGAACCAGGAGTAAAAAAATGAAAACAAACTTTTCAAATATAGGAATAGAAATATTAGAGATAGCCAAATATGCACCAAAGACTTGTCTTTCTAGTTATGTTTTTGTGTGGAAATACTGTAAGTTGTAAAGAGGCACCCACTTGGCATAGAGCTAGAGTTCTACTCTAAGTGTGGAGTTCCCCTCCTATACCTGATGGGACTTACAGGGCTGAGACATCCCATGGTCTTTGGGGCACAGGGTTTGTAGATCAAAAGGGCAGGTTTTGAGTTGAATTTTTTAACTAAAGAGGATACCCCTTCTGATCATAAATGAAGTTAAAGCATCAGGTTAAGGGTTTTCTAAATTTACATAATTTCTCACTAATCTTTAGCCTTTTCCTCCCCCCCCACATATAACAGGTGTTTCCACACACACCTAGGATTTCCAGTAATTTTACAAAGTATGTGATGACAATTTCTTTTTTTTTTTTTGAGTTGTAGTCTCACTCTGTCACCCAGGCTGGAGTGGAGTGCAGTGGCACGCTCACAGCCACTGCAGCCTCCACCTACTGGGCTCAGGTGATCTTCTGCCTCAGCCTTCCAAGTAGCTGGAACCACAGGCATGTACCATCACACTTGACTAATTTTTTAATTTGTTGTAGAGACAGGGTCTTGCCATGTTGCTCAGGCTGGTCTCAAACCCCTGGACTCAGACAATCCTCTCGCCTCTGCCTCTCAAAGTGCTGGGATTACAGCCACTGTGCCCGGCTGACAATTTCTTTTTATATCACTTTATCCACATAGGACTTTAGTATTTTAAGACTACTGAAAATAGTCCAATTTTCCAACTTTTAAGTGCAACTAGAATGGTTAATTATATTTCGGAAAAGCATGTAGTGTTCTAAGAAAAAGAACTTTATTCATAATGTAAGAAAGTTTTATTGGGACAATAGTTCTTATGCCTTAACTTTCCAAATAAACTCATGTTAAAGAAAGAATTATGGCTGTCTTTACCAAAAACTCACTACAATTGTATGATTACTCTCCAGTATAACCTCAAGATGATGAAGAAATAAAACAGGCATTCTCTAAAGTTTTTTCACAGGAAGAACATGCCCAGTGCTTCTCTTTAGAGTTATTCTGTGACACTGAATCACCAAAGAAGGGTTTCCTGTAGAGTTAACTCTTAGAAGATTCTCCTGGGATGAAGGCTGCCTGCAGTTGTATGTGCAGTTTCTGTGAGGGTGGATTCTTGTATTGGCAGTGGGTCACAGCTTCTTGTGTACTTTTTGGTGCTGGATCAAGTGGCCATGCTGGTTGAAGGCACGACCGCACTCCCCACACTCATAGGGCTTCTCGCCTGTATGGATCCGCTGGTGCTGGATGAGCACCGAGTACTGGCTGAAGGCTTTCCCACAGCTATTGCACTCATAGGGCTTCTCGCCCGTGTGGGTCCTCAGGTGCACAATCAGGGTTGCTTTCAGGCTGAAGGCTTTGCCACACTCTGTGCACTGAAAGGGCTTCTCACCTGTGTGGATTCTCTCATGCTGGATCAGAGATCGGCGTGCACTGAAGGCATGCCCACATTCCCCACACACATAGGGCTTTTCCCCAGTGTGGACCCTTTGGTGCTGGATCAGGTGTGAGTGCTGAACAAAGGCCTTTCCACACTCATAGCATGCATAGGGCTTCTCCTCAGTGTGGATCCGCTCGTGGTTCATCAGGGTAGAGCGGTGGCTGAAGGTCTTCCCACACTCATTGCATTCGTAGGGCTTCTCTCCTGTGTGCACATTGTGGTGCTGAATGAGAACCGAGCGGTCACTGAAGGCCTTTCCACACTCACTGCATGTGTAAGGCTTCTCCCCAGTGTGTATCCTCTGGTGCTGCAGCAGTGTCCTCTTCACACTGAAGGTTTTCCCACACTCGTTGCACCCATGAGGCTTCTCCCCAGTGTGCACCCTTTGGTGGCTCCGCAGGACAGTGCTGTGGTTGAAGGCTTTCCCACACAATGGACACACATATGGTCTTTCTCCTGTGTGAATCCGCTGATGCTGAATGAGATGAGAGAGCTGAGTAAAGGCTTTCCGACACTCAAGACATTCATGAGGCTTCTCTCCTGTGTGTATCTTGTGATGCTGAGCAAGATCTGAGCTCACTCTAAAGGCTTTTCCGCACTCATTACACTCATAGGGCTTCTCACCTGTGTGAATCCTCCTGTGTTTACTAAGGACTGAACTCTGGCTGAAGGCCTTCCCACATACATTGCACACATAGGGCTTCTCCCCAGTATGGATACGCTGATGTTGAAGGAGATGGGAGCTCCGACCAAAGCACTTCCCACACTCAATGCACATGTAGGGTCTCTCTCCACTAGGTACTGCCTGATGTGGAGTGAGTGGCACACTCTGGCTTAAAACCTGAACATCACTGTGGCCAGTAGGTTTTGGACTCAGAGAGAAGTTTCTCTTTGTTTCAGTATTTTCTTGATCAATCCTCCCCAAGGGTGTTTTCTCCAGAATTATTGCTATGTCCTCTGACATTAATGGCTTTAGACTCAAGTCTGTAGTTTGGTTCTCTTCCTTGGTGTCACATTCTGAAAAAACAAATCCAAAATGAAAATATTAACATTTCTCAAAACTGTAGAGCAAGTGAAACCCTGAAACTGGCTTTGTTGATGAAGGTGTAGCTCCTGAATGCAAATGGTCCTGTGAGCTAGGGAGGAACAGAAACAAAACATTTTAAACAACTAGAAATCAGAAGGTAATGTGTTTCCAACAGGAGTGTGGAAAGGCTAAGAGCAATATTTAAGAGAAAGGTGTAAAATCCAGTCTGAGGCCACACACCTGTGTGGAGTGGACACAGGAGACATAGCAGCAAAGAGACAGCCCAGTGATGCCTGAGACCTGCTGTCCACAGAGTCCTCATGTGGACTGAGCTTCCAGAAGCCATCTGGGAAGTAGGACCACACTACTATGTGGAAGCGCTGTGGGAGACAGTGGCACATGGGCAGGCAGCAAGAGGTATGTGAGCACATCTCTCGTGGGCAGGTCAGGGAGTGCTATCTGGGGGCCAGTAGACTTGTACACGGAGGGTGGTAATGTAACCTCTTGGTGGAAGATAATTTCATGTGGAGAATGCACTGGTAGTGGGGGTGGGAGGGGGCAGAGAGGACAAGACTGGAGGCACAGAGGGATGTGACTGGAATCTACTGCCAAGTTCAGGCCAGAAATAAGGCCTGTGAGGACAACAGTAAGGATGGCAGGAAAGGCTGGGGTGGAGATGCTTCTGGGATCAAGTCAAGGGCTTTGTGGGCTGACTGTGTAAGTGGTGGGAGGCAGGGAGTGCTAAGGACAATAGTGTTTGATGGTTTTTTTGAGTCGGAGTCTTGCTCCGTCGCCCAGGCTGGAGTGCAGTCGCACGCTCATGACTACCCCAGCGTTGACCTGCTGGGCTGAGGTGATCCTTCTGCCTCAGCCTTCCAAGTAGCTGGAACTACAGGTGTGTGCTACCATGCTTGGATAATTTTTGATTTATTGTAGAGACGAGGTCTCGCCAAGTTGCCTGGGCTGGTCTCAAACCTGTGGGCTCAGACAATCCACTTGCCTCGGCTTCCTGAAGTGCTGGGATTACAGGCTGAGCCACCAAGCCCGGCTGGACAACAGTGTTTTATTTTATTATTATTTTTTAATTTGGAGGGGTTTTTCATCTCATTTTTTGTGTGTAATTTGTCTTATTTTCTTTCTTTTCTTTTCTTTTTTTTTTGAGTCAGAGTCTCACTCTGTCTCCCAGGCTGGAGTGCAGTGGCACACTCACAGCCACTGCAGCCTCTACCTGCTGGGCTCAGGTGATCTTTCCACTTCAGCCTTCCAAGTAGCTAGAACTACAGGCATGCACCATTACACCTTGTTAATTTTTCTTGATTTATTGTAGAGATGCGGTCTCGCCAAATTGCCCAGGCTGGTCTTGAACCCATGGGCTCGGGCAATCCTCTCACCTTGGCTTCCCAAAGTGCTGGGATTATAGGCGTGAGCCACTGTGCCCAGCCAAACTGTCTTATTTTCAAAGAGATAAACCTATGATTGACAGGAAGCACAAGCTTAGGACATAGTCATTTTATTTATTTATTTATTTATTTATTTATTTATTTATTTATTTATTTATTAATAGTTGGAGTCTCACTGGCAACCTTGACATGCTGAGCTCAGGTGGTCCTTCTGCCTCAGCCTTCCAAGTAGCTTGAACTACAGACACATGCCACCATTCCCAGCTCATTTTTTTTTAATTGTAGAGACAAGGTCTCCCCATATTGCCCAAGTTGGTCTCAAATCCCTGGGCTCAGGCAGTCCTCTCACCTTGGCCTCCCAAAGTGCTGGGATTACAGGCATGAGCCACCACACCCAGCCAACAATAGTGTTTTAAATCTTGGAGACTGAGCTACTGAGATAAAATACCACACAGATCAAGATATCACATGGGAACAGGTGCTGTTTCAGGATGGGCTGTGCTTGGGAGCTTACTCCACCAAGGGCTCTCACTGTGTGAACCTGGCTCCACATCTATGTGGAAGAACAAGAGGCTGACCCTGCATGTAAACAGGACACATATTAGACCCCTCTGTTTCCAGAAGGTGAAAGGACCTTTCCCATAGTAGAGGACAGCCAGACCTCCCAGTGCTGAAGGTTCCAGGCCCCTTAACTGTGGCCCCTTGTAGTACTAAATCTTAACCTTGGAGCTCAGGATACCAACCCCACCCTCAATATTTCACCAATGCCTCTAAGCCCCTTGCTGGGCACTACCCTGAATGAATGTCATAACTGAATGACATTCTGGGATGAGAAGCCCCATGGCAGAGAGATCCGAGAAGGGAATTCTTGCTATTATCTTATTAAAGGGCATGCACGGGGTCTGTGGCAGGTGCCAGTGGGATCAACAACCTCTGGAGGAGAGTGCAGATTTAGCAAACTCTGACCAAGAGATCAAGGGCTGGGATAGCACCAAAGTGTGTGTCTGTGTGTTGGAGGGGGAAATAATTCTTTCCCATTCCCTCTTCTCCAGAGGAGGTGGACTAAATTGACTAGCTAATTTGAATAAGACCTGGGAATTCTCAGCTCAGTCACTTTTTGGGAACTAGCTTGGCCCTGGTGAGTCTACCTTCTGCTCCGTTCCCCTATGTTCAAAGAACTACAGAGACAGGCCACAATATGGAGGAGCCTGTGGTGATCCCTCACTACCTGAACCTGGGATAAGTTTGTCTTATTCTGGGGTTCTGTATTAGGAAGTACATTTGAATGGCAATAAATCACATTTTCCAATTGTGTTTTATGTATAAATAACATTTTTATGTCCCATATGCTTTTGTATTGGTGTGCATGTTTGGTGACAGATTTATTGAGATATAAACTGTACTTTTTTTTTTAGTCTGAGTCACACTCCATTGCCCAGACTGGAGTGTAGTGGCATGCTCACAGCCATCCCAGTCTCAACCTGTTGGGCCCAGGTAATCCTTTCGCCTCAGCCTTCCAAGTAGCTGGAACTACAGGTATATGCTATCACACCCGGCTAATTTTTAAAATTTATTGTAGAGACTGTCTCACTAAGTTGCCTAGACTGGTCTCAAACCCCTGGGCTCAGGCAATCCTCTCGCCTAGGCCTCCCAAAGTGCTGGGATTTCAGGCTTGAGCCACCGTGCCCGGCCATAAACTTTACTTTTTAATTGGTTCAGAACTTGGTTTGGAAAGACAGATACTGTATAATGGGGCTCTTGGAACCCCAACAGGACACTTGAAAAATAAAAGACACAAAATCCAAGAGGTCCATCCATAATGACAAAGGCACTTCTAAGATGGGCAGGAATATCCATGAAGTATTCTATGACTGAAGAGTTTGGACAGAGGTGGCCAACAAATAAACAGATGTTTGGTTAGATCTGTGATGTCTTGACATCCAAGGAATGGTTACCATGGAGAGATGAAGACATAACAAATGTTAACACTTCTTACAAAAGGAAGGAAACAAGCTGGGTGCAGTTGTGCATACCTCTAGTCCTGTAGTCCCATCTACTTTGGAGACTGAGGCGGAAGGATTGCCTGAGCCTAGTTCGAGTCCAGCTTGAACAACATAGCAAGATTTGTCTCAAATAAAAAAAAAAAGGAAGCCGGGCATGGTGGCTCACACCCATCACACTTATAATCCCAGCACTTTGGGAGACCGAGGCGAAAGGACAGTCTAAGCCCACGGGTTCGAGATCAGCCTGGGCAACTTGGCAAGATGTCATCTTTACAATAAATCAAAAAATTAGCTGGGCATAGTGGCACGTGTCTGTGGTTCCAGCTACTTGGAAGACTGAGGCAGAAGGATCACGTGAGCCCAGAGGTTGAGGCTGCGGTGACTGTGAGTATGCCATTGTGAGATGGATTGAGACTCCAACTTAAAATTTAACAAAAAGGATGGAAGTAGTACAGACTGCAGCAAATCCTCAGCAGTCCTTCACCTCCAGGTTCCCTATGAGCAGGTGTAGGGGTGGGGCGGTTTCCTCAAGGACATTGTCCAGAAATAACACTGAGGGTGAAGGATTCCCATAGTGATGGTGTCAAGGCTGGGGTCCCATTCCAGATCTGATCAATTTACTCCACCACATCCACTGCAAGCTTCAGCTTCCCTTTTATCACACCCTTCTGCTCTCCAGGGTTCAGGTAGGTCCTCTGCCCTCTGCCAGACCTCTTCCCTTCTCCTAGAACAAGTTCCTCCTCCTGTAGCTGGTGGATCTTCAGAATATGTGTCTCTCTTGTGATTCCTTACTTTTCTCTTTTCCCCCAACAGCATCCAAGTCCTTGCTCCTGACACAGACTGCTATCCTATAGCAAACTGTTGTCAATCAAGTTAATACTCTCCTCAACCTCAACATTGCCTGGTCACTCATAGACACTGAATGACTTAAGCATACAACCTGACTTGGCATGCAATGCCATGTGACTACACTGGCCAATTCAGCTGCACGTATATCCTATACCCCTTTTATTATCTTGTTATAGATGATATAAAACTGTATATATTATTATATTTTGTTATTATTAATTATATATTCACTTCCCTCAGGAGACAGAAAGCTAAAAAGAGCATTACTCCCCCTGCCCAAACCAGAAAAAAGCCAGATTGACTACAAAACCCTAACTTTTCTTGAATCCATCACAGAGCTGAGATTACATGGGAACCAACCAGCCTGAAACCTAATGAAAGGCAGGTTCATCCATGGGAGATGAGACTGAGACAAGTGCACTGACTTGCTCATGGCTGAAGAAGAAAGGAAGATAGAGTCACCATACAAGTGGGTAAGAATTCCTGGAAGCCACAGACACAAGGGCTCTTCTCCGTGGATCTTCCCTTGGCACTCATGAGAAAGACTAGGGACAGAACCAGAGAAAGTTTCCTTTGGTGGTTCAGGTCTGGGAGAAGAGAGGATAAACACCCACCTGGACTCTTCTCTATGGAACGAAAATCAGAAGTCACTGGGGGAAGAAAAGCAAACTTGTCATCCTTTTTTTTTTTTTAGTTGGAGTCTTACTCTGTCACCCAGACTGGAGTGCAGTGGCCGCT